GCTGGGATTACAGGCGTGAGCCACCATGCCCGGCAAAAACACTGTTCAAAACAGTGTTTTCCTTTCCACACAAACAAATCTAAACTAATCAGCCTGGGCATTGTGTTTCTTGAGCCCTGGATGATGGTGCCTGTTTTGTTGAAGAATTTGCCCATTCTGTCTCATCTCTCTGACTTAGGACACACCACACTAAATCCTGATATATCAATTATATATATCATTAAGGCTTCTTTAGTTGTCGTCTATTATGATGTATGTCCTTTAGGACGATGACCACGTTCTTTTGTACTGACTGTTTCTCCAAGGGCACATTCAATGATAATCAATGGGGAGGATTTCCGAGTTAATGACCCTTTGCCATCACAGGTTGTCCACCTCTTCTTAGCATTAAGACCCTCTGCTTATGCACATGCCCACAGCTCTAGAGGGGAAGAAAAGAAGTTTAGAAATACCCAACCAGGCACATGGACAAATTGACCTACATAGGCCTTCCTCCATGCCTCCTCTTCCCCTAAACCCACATTTATTTTCATTCCTTTCCTTCTAGTCTGGCACAACATGTCAGTAAAAAGGACACAAGACCAGAAAGCAAATTATGAGATTTGGAGAATCTGTCTCAGAATAAGCAGTTGCAATATGCCTTATCTTTCCCAGAACATGTTCTTGCTCCACGTCTAGCAATAAAGTTCCAAGAAGGGGAATTCATCAACATCTCTCTGACTGATTTAACACAGTGAAGACATATCTGTTTAAGAAGTATTGCTGGTGGCCAGATGAGAGAAGCTATTGAGACATCTGCAGTGAGGCACCTGTTGCAAAGCCCTACCTAGAAGGGGGCTGTGGGGAACTCATTCCTTCTTTGGGATCAGCATGGTTCTCTATTATATTTTTAGAACAGTTGAGTTTCCATGTGTTCTTAAGGTCTAGGATGTATACAGGAGCTCTGGTATCACAGTGGACCCCACAGAAGTGGCCAACTACTTACATTTTAATTAGCTTTCTCTGCTTTTTTGTTTATCAGGCTAAAGCTGAATGTGAATCTGATGGCTGCTGCCTTAGTTCAAAGCCAATGGAGTGCTATACCTACAGAAGCAGAATTTTAATAAACTGGCCTGAGCAATAGCAAATGGGGAGGACTTCCGAGTTGATGACCCTTTGCCATCACAGGCTGTCTACCTCTTCTCAGTAATAAGACCCTCTGCTTATTCACATGTCCACAGGTAACCTCTAGAGGGAAGAAAAGAAGTTTAGAGATACCCAACCAGGCGCATGGACAAATTGGCCTACCTAGGGCAGATGCCTCAAGTATTTTTCTTCTGCAACTGACTATCAGCACTGCAGACTATTTCTGGGGGACATTCTGGCATTATTAGAAGCCCTCCAGCCACTCTCAGCTTTGACATGTCCTCTATGTAGTTTCTGCAATGAAAGTAATTAATGTAATTGTTCTCATAGAACAGTGATGGTTCTTAGGGAGCATTCTGGAAATTAAATAAGTTGGGTTTTTGTTGTTGTTGTTGTTGTTGTTGTTTTGATGTCCTGGTGATTGGGAGAGGGCACAGTACTGACATTTAGGGAAGGACCAGGGATGCTAGATGTCCTGTGAAGAAGTCTCAACTCATGCATGACTTCCAGGTATCTCAAAATCAATCTGAAGGTGAAAAACCTGATTATTTGAGGCTAAAACAGAATTCCTTTTACACATAAGCATGCAATGCTTATGTGTGTGCATAATTTAATGTGCACATTCCAAGAATGCAATCACTTTACAAATTAAGAGAGGACTGTATTTTGTTGTATTCAAATGTCACTCAGCATTATTGGTCTTTTCAAAAAGAAAAAATCACATTGCTGAGAGTAATGTCCCTTGTGGTATTTGAGTTACCTAAGTCAGTTGGTTTGGTCCTTGTTGCATTCGGGATAGTTCCATACAGAGTTAAAACATCCAACTACTTCATTTTGTTTTCTAGTATAGGGCCCAAGCATTTATAGGTTGAAAGTATCTTTATTATTAAAGATACTTTATTATCTTTATTATTAAAATACCATCATTTATTTAGCTTTTATATCATATTAAGGTGCTTTAGCAATTTTTGAAAAATTAAGTTAAATAGTATTACCTAAGAATTTAATTTTAGGCTGTAAAAAGGACCATAAAAGTATTAGACATAAAAAGGGAGCCTAGGCCTGACAGGTGTGAGAACCACTGCTTTTTATAAATTCTCATTTGTAAGCCCTGTTTAATGAGCTACACAAGCACCAACCTCACAGAAGGTCAATAAATACAGGTCACAACCCTCACTGCTACTCCAAATGGTTGCACCAGGACCTGACTATATGATTTCAAAGCCTGAGTTGCTGCCCTTGTGCCTTGGGATTTTAAGGCTCTTCCCAAATTAATACACTTAGAATCCCAGTGTTTTCTTACAGCGTTTCTTAATTTCTCCATCAAAAATAATTCCTTTTCTCTAGTATGACTAAAGAACTATGGCTGAGGCACTTTTATTTTTCCTTATATAGGTGGGAATTCTTACTGTCAGGGGATGAAGTTATTTGTTCTCACAGTCTATCCCCATTGTTCTTTGCATTCTCTGACCCTCAATAAAACCTTGTTGAGTTTCATCACTCACATTTACCAACCCCCTAGAGATACTTGTGTGCGTGTTCAACTCTGGAAATTAATAGAAATTTTTTTTTTTTTCTTCTGAGTTGGAATCGTGCTCTGTCACCCAGGCTGGAGTGCAGTGGCATAATCTTGGCTCACTGTAACATCTGCCTTCTGGGTTCAAGCGATTCTCCTGCCTCAGCCTCCCGAGTACCTGGGATTACAGGTGCACACCACCATGCCTGGCTAATTTTTGTATTTTTCGTAGAGATGGGGTTTCACCATGTTGGCCAGGCTGGTCTTGAACTCCTGACCTCAGGCGATCCACCCACCTCAGCCTCCCACAGTGTGGAATTACAGGCATGAGCCACCGCACCTGGACAGACATTTTTACCATTATTCAAGTGTGGAAAAATTTTCTCCTGTTTTTTAGTAACACGCATCTGCTTTACCTCATGCAGTCTCCTAACCTTTATGATTTGGTGACAGTATCAGAAAAGGAGAGGCTCTGAAATACAAGTTAAAAGGAATTGGGAAATGAATAAATTGACCATCTGCAGAAGTAACAGATATTTGAGATGGTTTGGAAATGGATGGATGATGAAATTCACACAATGTTTTTCCACATCAAGTAACAGGAAATGGACCTCAGATAAGTTGTGATCACATTAATTTAACATACCCTTTATCAGGCAATGTTTGCTGTAATGAAATAAACAAACAAAAAAACAAAAACAAAATAAAACAAAACAAAATAAAAAAGGAGCATGTCCAATACTATGTCATAACTGAAGAATGGCAGACTGCATGAAATTTAGAAATAAGTGAAAAAGAATTAGGCTTTGTTAGTATGTTTCTTGCAATCTCCATGGAAGGGAGAGCTCTGTTTCCAATGAGGAAAATATAAATTTTTCTAATCTGGCCAAAGACCATTTATTCAGGTAAATAGTTGTTTTTTCAAGACATAGCTGTAAAAAAAGAAAAAAAAGTCCTTTAGGACCAGATTCTCTCATATAATTCTATGTTCCAATCTGTTCCTTTCTGCCCTATAAATTGTTTTCAGGAAAAAAAAAATATATATATATATATGTATGTGTGTGTGTGTGTGTGTATATACACACACACACACACACACACAAAAGTTATTTGGGGCAAAACATGAATCATGTGCTTTCTTGCAGCTACCATATAAAAGTTCCAGTGTAAAGCACTAACGTGACATGCTGGTTTGGATTAGCTCTAATCAATTCCCCAAGGCTGATTAGTAATGTCATAAATTAATCAAGATTGTTTCAGCAACAGAGGGTACCATGCTTGGCTACGAGGTGCAAATAACTTAAAAGACCTATCTTTGAGTCCTTATTTCTCTTTCTCTCTCTGTTTTAGAAATGTTAACCTTCTTAATAACTGAGAGCAATGGGCCTGATATGTGAACTTTGTAAAGAAGTGTTCGATTTTTTTCTTAATGCTTCTCTCCATTCTCCACATAGATTTTAGCCGCCCCACACACAATATTCTTCTAGACATCTTCTTCCCTGCTGACAATTCCAAGTTATTCAAGTAGTCCCTGATGGCCCAAACTTACATATAGACATACAGATGCAGAAATATAGACATCTATCTATATTCTCTGTATGTTTAATAAGGAGTTACTTCACTATTCTTTATTCTGGCCTGGAGAATGTGTTTAGGTAACTTAATCCTTCTACATCCCCTTCTCACTTTCTCTTCTGGATTTTAACTACAGATTTCTCCATTCCATAAAACAAACCAACAGCAGAATTTCCTGCTGATTATCTGTATTAATGGAGAGGCTCAACGGCACCTGTGCTATGAAAAGTTGTGATGAAAAAACTCAAATGTATGATGAATTTACTGTCCTCAAGTATTTTGGTGTGAAATGGTGGGAGGAGAGAAGATACATAAATGAAAAGAGTATAATCTCTGTTCTAACAGAGAGAGGAGTATACACACATACACATACATAACATATATACAAAATACACATATACATACACACACACAGCCTCCAGAGAGATGTTATAAAGATTTTGCAGGAAGTTAAGTAGAGATTTATAAGAGTTTAGAGGAGCTGAAGGAAGACAGAGCTCAGCACGGTTCTAATAGAGAGGGCTTCAGAGAGTGAGACTTGTGTGAACTTTGGAGGATAAGTTAGGATTTAGATAGATGGAGAAGCAGAGAGAAAGAACATTTAATTAAATGGATTTCATGAAGTCTGAATTGTATCAATTCTGTGCCAAATGCAGATTCAATACATCAAATAATGTGAAGAAATCAACTATAATGAAGCACCATCAAGGTCCTCCAAGCACTTCCTAGGAATCAGGATTTTTGGTCTAGGGTCTTTAGTCTACAGATTGAGAAGCAAGGGTACCTGGAGATTGGTTGCTGACTCTTAATTTTAGCCAAAATCTTGAGCTTTCGGAATCCATCCACCTTCTTAATGTCCTCCGTGAGTCTTCTTTTTCTTCTCCTTAAGAGAGGAGGAGCAATGAACAATATTTAGAAAATGAATAATATTTATGGAAACACTATTAGGTTTGAGTTTCTCATCTATAAATTTTCCTTTATGACAAACTATGTGATGCTTGTAACTTGTTTTTACACTGGGAGTTTTTTCCTATTATATTTTCCAGTATAGTATTTGATACATAAATTTAATATATGTAACATATATTTAAAATGTAAATCAGGCAGGGCATAGTAGCTCATGCCTGTAATCCCAGCACTTTGGGAGGCCGAGGCGGGTGGATCATGAGGTCAGGAGTTCGAGACCAGCCTGGCCATCATGGTGAAACCCCAACTCTACTAAAGAAACAAAAAATCAGCTGGGTGTGGTGGCCGGCTCCTGTAAACCCAGCTACTAGGGAGGCTGAGGCAGGAGAATCGCTTAAACCCGGGAGGTGAGGGTTGTAGAGAGCCGAGATTGTGCCATTGCACTCCAGCCTGGGTGACATGGTAAGACACTATCTAAAAAATATATATATACACACACACACACACACATATATATATAAAGTTTAAATCAAATTATATCAAAACCCATGATAAAACATCTAACCCAAAACTGGAATATTGGCAACAACTTGTATTTACCTCTGTGTGTTTCCCCATCCCATGTCTTGCCTTTATCACTAAGATAGCCACTGCCAGGTATTTTTAAAACTCTCTCTTAAAAGTTTTCATTATCACACACTTATGTATACTTATTCTGTATAAGTGCTTCTATATATACTTCAACAATGTATAATTTGGTTTTATTTTCATTTTACTGTTTTTTTTTGTTTTTTTTTTTTTTAAGAGCTAGGGTCTCACCATGTTGTCCAGGCTGGTCTCAAACTCCTGAGCTTAAGCAATCCTCCCACCTCAGCATTCCCAAAGTGCTAGGATTACAGGCATGAGGACCTGCCCAGCCATGGTTTTATTTTTGAGTTTTAAAAAATGTTATTATATATGAACCTTCTGAGACTTATGTTTCTAAAATTCAACCAGGTACTACTGTGTGTACCTCAATAAATGCATTATTTTGACCATGAACATGTAATTGTCTCTAGTATTTTTATCTATTAAAAATAGCATATTTTCCATTCTCATATGTCTCCTGTTGCATGTGTGCAAAATATTCTCTCATGTAAACATCTAGGAGTCAAACAGTTGGGTCACTGGAGTACACTTACTGGATAAAAAATACTATCAAAAATCTTCAGCAAATACAATTCGATGTGGAAGAGTTCCCACACTGATTCTTGGCAAAGACCAAAATACTTTTAAATATGCCACTCCTAAGTGTCTAAAATGAAGACACTTATTCTGATTTCCTCAGCTGGGGGTGGGGGAAAACAATGGAGAACAGCCCTTCTCCTCCTCTATTTTTCTTTTAAAATTTATTCCAATTAATAGAAATACAGTAAACGCAAGTGACGCAGATAAGAAAACATGGAGCAGATCCTAACAGAAAAGGTAGGGAATAGAAACTATGTTCATAAACAGGATCCACACAAGAGAAATATGGGAATGAGTAAAACGGCAAGAGTCCTCCAAAAAACCCGCACTGCCAAGAATTTTCCCAATTAGAACACTCACCAGAGAAAACGGTGGTCAAGTTACAAACTGCCCGCGCAGCGTCGGGATTGGCCATCGACATCAACTCGGCCCGATTGACGTGTACTATGCTGTAAACTGGGTTCAAACTTTTTTCTGCTGCCTTTCTATCTTAATATTTAGCAAACTCAAACTGGGAACAAGGGAGGAGAAACAGCACCACTCTCAAAACAAACAAGTTTAGTCGATTTGTACGTTTCTGTGTGTGCCAACTGCTTCATTACTAAAGTACACATGAAGTTTAGGGACAGAGCGCCGGAAACACTATGGATATTTTACCAGTTGACACTTAAATATTGTATTTTATTTGTGGTCAACAGGAATTGAATTTTCCCTTTACTAGGTTTGTCTGATGATAAACCTGATCCTTCTTCAGATAAAAAATTGTCTCAAGCGTTGCTGCAACATGCAGTACACTGCAGTGCTAATTAATTTTTTCTTTCTTTTTTGAGACAGAGTTTCGCTCTTATTGCCCAGGCTGGAGTGCAATGGCCCGATCTCGGCTCACTGCAACCTCAGTCTCCCGGGTTCAAGCGATTCTCCTGCCTCAGCTTCCCGAGTAGCTGAGATTACAGGCGTCCGCCAGCACGCCCAGCTAATTTTTTTGTATTTTTAGTAGAGACGGGGTTTCACCATGTTGGCCAGGCTCATCTTGAACTCCTAACCTCACGTGATCCACCCGCCTCGGCTCCCCAGAGTGCTGGGATTAGAGGCTTGAGCCAAAATTAGTTTCTAACAAGGATAAAGCAAGGAATCTTGTAAATCTTCTTTGTAACGAGTAACAAATATCTGCTGTAAGAAAAGTGAGTGCCAGCTCTCTTTGGGAAGACTGAGTGGCTCTGAAAAGAGCCTTTGGGGTGTGGGCCGAGACTGACCGAACGTTCCGCGGTGGGCGGGCTCACTTGGAGCTGGTGTACTTGGTGACGGCCTTGGTGCCCTCCGACACCGCGTGCTTGGCCAGCTCCCCGGGGAGAAGCAGGCGCACAGCCGTCTGGATCTCCCTGGAGGTGATGGTCGAGCGCTTGTTGTAATGCGCCAGGCGGGAAGCCTCACCCGCGATGCGCTCGAAGATGTCATTGACGAAGGAATTCATGATTCCCATGGCCTTGGACGAGATGCCGGTGTCGGGGTGGACCTGCTTCAGAACCTTGTACACGTACACGGAGTAGCTCTCCTTGCGGCTGCGCTTGCGCTTCTTGCCGTCCTTCTTCTGGGCCTTTGTCACCGCCTTCTTGGAGCCTTTCTTTGGGGCGGGAGCAGACTTTGAGGGTTCAGGCATGGCTGGTAGTAACTGCCAGAAAATTAGAGAAAAAAAGGGAAGAAAGTCGGTAGCACTGTCTACCTAACGCTTATTCCCTGCTTCTTAACGCAAATGGAGCAGACAATGAAGGTGTGCGTTTAACTAGTGGTGAGTCCTGGAAACGTATATTAACTTTGTCCAATCAAAATAAGTGTTTTTCAAAACCGCAATCCCATTGGTTAAAGCGAAACTGTAATGTTAGCCAATAGCATAGCTTAGTTTTCGTGCATGTATTGACTATAAGTAGCCGAGCCTTAGTATTGCGTCAGTCTCAGGCACGCTGCTGATTGAGTATATTTGTCATGTCGGGACGTGGCAAGCAGGGCGGCAAAACTCGCGCCAAAGCTAAGACCCGCTCTTCTAGGGCGGGTCTTCAGTTCCCCGTGGGCCGAGTGCACCGACTGCTCCGCAAGGGCAACTATGCCGAGCGGGTAGGTGCCGGCGCGCCTGTGTACCTGGCGGCGGTGCTGGAGTACCTGACCGCCGAGATCCTGGAGCTGGCTGGGAACGCGGCCCGAGACAACAAGAAAACCCGCATCATCCCGCGCCACCTGCAGCTGGCCATCCGCAACGACGAGGAGCTCAACAAGCTGCTTGGTAAAGTGACCATCGCCCAGGGTGGTGTTCTGCCCAACATCCAGGCCGTGCTGCTGCCTAAGAAAACTGAGAGCCACCACAAGGCCAAGAGCAAGTAGTGGGTCTGGAGTAGTGCATTACTCATACCTCGGTCCAAACCAAAAAGGTTCTTTTCAGAGCCACCTACTTTTTCACCAAGTAGAGCTGTGTTCCACAGTTTTATCCGATGTCGAGTCATCTTGCAATGGCACTGAAATGCTGTATAGAGATGAAGCAAAACCAAAGGGCTTTTACACCACATTGTTTTGAGATAGAAAGTAGACATTGAAATATTCGCGGCACATCAAGAAATTTAGGCGCGGCAGCTCGCGCCCGCAATACAGCTGAAAACAATAGGAAAAGTGGGGCAAGAGAATAACAAAGGGAGCTGGAAGTTGGTTAGAGGGCTGAATAAGTAAAAGCAAAGGGCAGAACTAAGGTGGACGGGCGGGTGAACAAGAAGCGAGATAACAAGCAGTGAACCTTTTGCAGCCGAAACAAAGGTGAGATAATGTGAGCAAGCACCTCGTGGCCGGCAAGTTCTGGAACAAACCAGTAAAAGGCAGCTCTTCAGAGATGGGCATGCGTATTAGGGAGGAAAAAGTATCCTTAACAAAAGCCCATATGATAATCAGCTATTTAAGGTTCATGCATATGGGCTGCATATCTTGCATGTATTTAAGATTATGAGATAGAGGTGATGCACAAGCCACAGAGGCCAAAGTAACTAAGCAACAAACCTATCAATAAAAGGGCAGATACTGGCTATAGATTAGGCGGCACTGGGAAGAGAAAAACACACGCACACACATAAAAAGACTTAAACTGCAACAAGCTGATGCTGATCTCATCTCGCAGAGGTCAATGCGCTCTCCCCCGCCGAGAGTGTAATACTCTGCTTAATAAACTTTTGCTGCTTTGCTTTGCTATCTGTGTGTGTGTCGACTAGTTTGCTCCTGGCACCAAGAGCCTGGAACTGCTTGGCACCATCCGGTAACACAACCACTTTGGGAAGCCGAGGCGGAAGGACGGCTAGAGCTTTGGTGTCCGAAGTCAGCCTGATCTTTACAAAAGTAGAATAACTGACTGTGCCTGGTGTCTCATAGCCTGTAGTCCTAGCTACTCGGGAGGCTGAGACCAGAAGGATCACTTGAGCCCAGGAGTTCGAGGCTGCAATAAGCTACGATTGCACCACTGCAGTCCAGCTTGTGTGACAGAGCAAGAGTGTTTCAAATGAACCTAGTGTCAGATACTTACTTTCTGTATTTCAGAGGACTGAAAGCTAGCTAAATAATAGTTTTCAGTGTACCTGGGTTCCAGAGAGAAAATTGGTAAACTAACCTTTGCTCCTTGCTTGGGCTTTTAGTTTATACTTCATAAGACCATGGAAGCAGAATTTGGGTATCTGACCCTTCTGCAGAATTTAGGACCCCACGTGCGTTTGGCCTACCTATTCCAGTTCAATTGAATCTTTCCCAGCACCTATGGTGTGCCAGGCACCCTCCTAAATGGGAATACAATATTAATCCAGATACATAACGTCTATATCCAAAAGGAGCTTCAAGTTGACTTGGGCAAAGAATACATGTCATAATGGACTGTTTATGTAAATGATGGGAAAGGGTTGGGGTTAGGGTGTGAGATTACGTTAGAACGTGTTACTTAAAAACAGTATGAATGATGGACATTGTAAGTCAGGTTTTTTATTATATCATAGTCATATAGCCCTGTTCTTGTCAGTTTTTCCTGCTTCCTTTCTCTCATCAAGATAACTCCCTTCTTCCTCAGATCACCAAGTCCTCCTAGCTAGAGAGGGCCTTCTATTCCTCTCCACCTAAACTTATATAAGCTACTGTGTTCCTCATAAAGACATGTTAATGAAAACGAATTTCTACAGGATCTCTAGTCTATTGAAATACATTAATTTTTGAGTCTCTGCACACATTTTTATTTCCTAGATTTGTCTTAATTGCAATCGCATGCAACTAATATTTCTTGGAATAAAACAGCAAACACAACTGTCATAAATATTACTTTTTTTAAAAAAGTTACGATTATTTGATGTTGAGGACTCCATCCTGATTTCAATGAATTAATTCATTCGTTCCGTTTTAAAATGTCATCTGCGTTATTTGTGTGTATAAATTTTCAATAACTGTTTCTGTTACAACCATCAATATAAAGTAAATGATATGGCTCCATAGAACGCCTATAAGATTTTTGAAATTAAAATAAGTTTTTAAATAAAATATGCTGTCATGATCATTGAAGTTGATGATAAAATTATTCCATTGTTTCTATTTCTCCCAAGAACCACTATCTAATCATGAAAGCTAGCTAAGTAATAATTTTCAGAGTTCCTGAGTTCCAGAAGTAAAATTCTTTAAGCTAAACAGCTTGTAAAGTAACTTTTGCTTTATAATTATTATAATTTTTGGTGTTATTTATGCAAACTCAATGTACTCATAATCAAAACACTGACAAATGCAAACTTATGTATTAAGTAAAATAAAATATACAAGTGTGATATATCATTGTTTATAATTCTACATACACATGTAAAGAAAAATGGAGGAGCTGTTAAATGTGTAGCTTCAAAGTAAGTAAACTAGAGGAGGCAATCTTAAGATCAGAGGGATCCAAGGGGCAAAGAGCAATTAGGAAGATTTATAGTGCCTTATCACTTTATGGTATCATATCATCTGTGAAATATTGAATTAAATTAATGTCCTTACTGATTTGGTGCCCTCTGAAGGTGAAAAATCGGACATGAGGCAGATTAATAGAAAAAAAAGCAGACAAATTTACAATGTGCATGGGGAGAATCAGAGTGATTGCCCACCCCAGAATGTGGTTCAGAAGTTTATACACCATCCTAGAAAAACAGTTTGAGGGAGGGAGAAGAGGAATTCATTTGAGAGGATTACTAGGAAGAATGAATGGATCAGGGAAAAGAAATTAAATTTCTACCTTATCTTGTGAAATGAGCTCTTCAGGTGTGATTACATTCATCTTACAGGGATTCATTTTTGGTGAGTCTGGATAATAGGCAGATAAAGGTTGGGGAGGGGGAGAAGGTCTAAGAGACTTTGAGGCTTCTGCAGTTCAGCTAGTCACCATGCCGTAGTTTGGGGTATTGGTTTCTGAGCCCCGACATTGACAATAAGCACTAAAAATAAATATTTGTTATTTAAATTAACTACTTAATGCATTATACATAGATTAATTTATGATGTATTAACGTATTTAAAGTATAATATAAACAAAATATTTGTAAATTAGTTATAAACAAAAAATTATATTAAATAGAGGTTGGCTTTCTGCTTGATATTTTATGTACATTATCTCCATTTTTTTTTTTATTAATTTTTTTTTTTTTTAGATGAAGGTCTTGTGATGTTGCCCAGGCTAATCTGTGACTCCTGAGCTTGCACAATCATCCCACTCCTGGACTCATGCAATCCTCCCACATCAGCCTCCAGAGTAGCTGGGACTACAGGCAGGTCACTGAGCCTGGCCTCTATTAATTCTTATAGTAGCTCAAAGAGGTAAATACTGTAGGGGCTAAGGGAAGTTTCACAGATAACCAACTGACAAAAGGCAGGATAATGGGAGAAATTTAATAATGTGCACGAGGGAGAATTACAAAGTCATTACCCCAGTCCCCAAAGGGGTACAGGTTATGTAACTTTTTTCATAGGGGAAGGAGGAGATGGGAAAGGTAGACAATTCCTTTGAGGGGCAATAAAAGATTGTTATAGAGAATAAATGGACCACAGAAATAAATAAGCTTGTAAATAATTGTCTTCGTAATTTATGTATTTATTTTGAGATGGAGTCTTACTCCATCACCCAGGCTGGAGTGCAGTGGCACAGTCTCCACTCACTACAACCTCTACCTCTGGGATTCAAGTGATCCTCCTACCTCAGCCTCCTTAGTAGCTGCGAACACAGGTGTGCACCAGTACACCTGGCTAATTTTTTTTTTTTTTTTAGACGGAGTTTCACTCTTGTTACTCAGGCTGGAGTGCAATGGTGCAATCTTGGCTCACTGCAACCTCCGCCTTCCAGGTTCGAGTGATTCTCCTGCCTCAGCCTCCCAAGTAGCTCGGATTACAGGCATGCGCCACCACCTGGCTAATTTTTTGTAAACTTTGTAGAGACGGGGATTCACCATGTTGGCCAGGCTGGTTTCGAACTCCTGAGCTCAAGGGATCCACCTGCCTTGACCTCCTACAGTGCTGGGATTATGGGGAGGAGCCATGGCATCTAGTATGTCTTGGTAATTTAAATGAGATGGAGAGGAAGGCATTATCTTGAAAAATCCATATCCAGTCTTCTTTTCTGCAATAATGAAATAACTAGGGAGGGGATAGAAGGCAATTCTGTTTCTTTTGTTAAGAAATTTTCTTGGTCCGATTAGGAAATGTCAGAGTTCCTTCGCATGTATAGGAAAGAGAAACAAGACGAGGTTAGAGGGGCTTTGATTCTGAAGCTTATTTCTGAGGCCTTTCAGTGTTCAAAAGCACTCAGCATGCCCAAGAACCACATTTTGGGGAATCATTCTGCACCCCAACAGTACCATCACTATCCTGATCTAACTTTGTAGATGAGCAAAGATTTAAAGAGAATAAACAAGTCACTTCCTGTCTGATCGGTAACAAGTCAGCTTGAGTCTGATAGGTAAACATTTAATCTAAAACCAAAGTTTTCTAATTCCAGAGTTTCAGCTCTTAACTACTTTGTAAACAAAGAATTGAATACTAAGAGATTATATTAGAATAGTTATAGGAGTTTTATAATTTTCAAAGGTGTTAAAATAATTTCAGAGTGGCCGGGCGCAGTGACCTCACACCTGTAATCCCAGCACTTTGGGAGGCCAAGGTATGTGGATCACGAGATCAGGAGTTCGAAACTAGCCTGACCAACATGGTGAAACCCTGTCTCCACAAAGATACAAAAAAATTAGCCGGGCGTGGTGGTGAGTGCCTGTAATCCCAGCTACTCGGGAGACTAAGGTGGGAGAATCACTTGAACCCTGGAGGTGGAGGTTGCAGTGAGCTGAGATTGGGCCATTGCACTCCAGCCTGAGTGAAAGGACAAGACTCTGTTACAAAAAAAATAAAAATTTCAGAGTATAACCCTGTATTTACTAAGAAAGAAAATTAAATATACGGAAACAAAGTTGTTCCATAATGGTTGATAACAAATCTTTAGTTGGGTCATGTAAAAGTGTCTTTTTTAAAACCTACAAGCGTCCAAGCGCGGTGGCTCACGCCTGTAATCCCAACACTTTCTGAGGCTGAGGCGGTCGGATCACGATGTCAAGAGATCAAGACCATCCTGTCCAACATGGTGAAACCTGGTCTCTACCAAAAATACAAAAAAATTAGCTGGGCGTGGTGGCGCATGCCTGTGCCGTGCTACTCCGGAGGTCGAGGCATGAGAATTGCTTGAACCTGGGAGACGGAGGTTGCAGTGAACCTAGATCGCGCCACTGCTCTCCAGCCTGACGACAGAGCAAGACTCCATCCCCCTCCCAAAAAAAGCGCCCGCCCCACACACAAAACCTACAAACACCAATTTTCTAGTTATAAGAACTTGTTTTAAGGATATTAATTCTATTCCAAATAAGTCCTAACGCTAACGCAATTATTATCAAAATCTCAAAGAGATTTTTATTCAAACTTCACAAAAGGTCTCCAAAGTTGCCAAGAAACCTTGGTGAAACAGATTAGGAAATTTGGAAAGGAAATAATGAGGGGACCAGCAGTACCAAATCATGAGACCTCTAATTCAGTTTTAAATATTAATGTAATAAAAATTTAAAGTTTGGTGTAATAAATCATACAAATTTCAATATTGGTCCCAAGCATAGAGAAAAAATAAATTTATTTTGAATGTTGAAAACATTATTCTTAAAATACAGCGGATTAAAAAATTGCTGGGGAACTGATTAAAACTGTATTGATAATTCCTAAGAAAGACACTATTTTATCTCTTTAATAGAAATTGATTAAACTGTAATCAATATAAGGAGGTTACAAAACGCCATATACAACACTGTATACATTTTCTTGGAAAAATATGTGCAACTGCTTTGCAAAATACGTTATAAACTAGCACTAGTGATCTCTGTGTGATGGGATAACAGGTTGTACTTTCTTAATTTCTTGTCGTTTCTTGTATTCCCCACAGTATTGATGTATATCTTCTGCGTTCAAAAGCAATTTTTTAAAGCCTTATAACGTGGTAACAAAACAGTTTGCACATTACAAAATTCAGAACACGGAAACAAGAAGCTCGCCTTTTTTCCCTATTTCGGTTTGGCCCTTTCGATTTCCCCTCCCCCACAGGGGCGGGACTTCCCGCCGACTTCTTTCAGGTTCTCAGTTCGGTCCGCCAACTGTCTTATAAAGGCGCTGCCTCAGGCCAGAGTCCTCACAAGGCGTTGTGTACGACTCGTCTTGCTCATCATGTCTGGCCGCGGCAAAGGCGGGAAGGGTCTTGGCAAAGGCGGCGCTAAGCGCCACCGCAAGGTGCTGCGTGACAACATCCAGGGCATCACCAAGCCGGCCATCCGGCGCCTTGCCCGCCGCGGCGGCGTGAAGCGCATCTCTGGCCTCATCTACGAGGAGACCCGTGGGGTGCTGAAAGTCTTCCTGGAGAACGTGATCCGGGACGCTGTGACCTACACGGAGCATGCCAAGCGCAAGACGGTCACCGCCATGGATGTGGTTTACGCGCTGAAGCGCCAGGGTCGCACCCTCTACGGTTTCGGCGGTTAAGCGTCCTAGTCTACCAAGAAAAGGCCCTTTTCAGGGCCCCCACTTTCTCAGTTGAGGAGCCGTGATGCTTGTTTGCCCAGATTCTCTTTACTGTTTGTCCGCACCTGCTGAGTTTGCCCAATCGGAGCATGCGTCCCTCCCTAGTCGCTGTAAGTAGGTATCAGTCACTAATCGCTTTCCAGTACCAGTAAATACAATACTCAACACAGCTTCTTTCAGGTGTTCCAGGGCTTACTGACATGGGGTGTCGCGCAGACCGTAGTGCAGTGTCATGGCTCACTGTAGCCTCCCGATTAGCTGGAACCTCGCGCGCGCCACCACGCAACGCTAATTGTTTTTCCAAAGACCAGGTCTGCGTATGTTTCCCAGGCTAGTTTCAATATCCTGGCCTCAAATAATTGTCTCGCCTATACCTAGTGTTGGCATTACAGGAGTGAGCCACCACACATGGCCACGATACTCTTGTTGAGGTTTTAAAGTTAGTTATATTTAAGTGCCAATTTTCGAAGTATAGCTGGGGAGGAAAGTCAAGCAGTTGTTACATGTTTCTGGCACTGTAAATCCAACTGCTGAACACAAGACCTTCTTATGCAACAACCTTTAATCCGTGAACCGTAAATAAGTTTAGTTTATCGGTTTTGGCCCAATTCTTGAGAAAAGTGAGAATTTGAATCCTTGAGTAGAAATATGTAGCTACTCAGTACAACAAAGAATGATCACAACAAAGACTAACTTACCCTTTGTTACTGAACGTGGGTCAGAGCTTTACCGCTGAGAATTCCTCAGCCTTTGAGTGTTTTCTTATTTACAATTGAAGTTGATAAGATGGTATTAAAAGTGAGATTCCTAAGTAAATTTAAAGGCCTGAAGGACCAGTGATTAATGGGAAGTGCTAATAAGTCATATTTGAGGTTATCCAACCCGAGATTCTGATTTAATTGGTTTAAGGACACCATCACCTTGTAGGTTAGATTTAAAAAATAATAATTGCATTAAGGAAAGAAACTGTTGGTATTTAAACAGAAAATTTTCCTTCCTGATTCTTACATGCTGTCACTTAGACAAATCTCTGGTCTACATGGCTGGATCTCTTTCTGTTAAATTCTGTGCTACCCTGTAAAAAAGAACTGAGATTAATAAAATGGTAGTGAGAACACAGGGAAAGATAAAAATCATAGCAAGCCTATCCAGTCATGCTGTAGTCATCCTCATAAGGATAGGGAAGGATCTTGCCTTTCATTTACCACACAAAGTATAAGTACAAACTTTAAAAAGATAGGATACTATAGGAATAATGAAGATGTCTCCACTGGCAAAAACTGTGTGAAAAAATGCACTTGACACAGGTCTTTCCTATGGCTTCATAATAGACAAAGATTTGATTACACAATTGCTGGCTGAATCTAGAATACTAAAATGTGGCTGTTAGAAAATGTTGCTGTCTGGGCCTGGTGTCATGCCTGTAATCCCAGCAATTTTGGAGGCCAAGGCTGGCAGATAGATTTAGGCCAGGAGTTGGAGACCATTCTGGCCTACATGGTGAAACCCCATCTCTACTAAAAATACAAAAAATTAGCCAGGCGTGGTGGCACACGCTTGTAATCCCAGCTACGAGAGAGGCTGAGGCTGAGAATCGCTTAAACCTGGGACTCAGAGGTTCCAGTAAACCGAGATCACGCCTCTGCCCTCCAGACACAAGAGTGTCACACACACACACAAAAAGATTGCTCTTACCCAGGGATGATGGTCAGATGCAATTACGGGTTATGGGCCTGGCATAAATGAGTAATGCTAAGTGTTTCACACTAAACATACTATTGTCAGTGTTCTAAGTGCTTTTTATTTACCAATTCATTTACACTTATTCTTTGTCTTTTTTTTTTTTTTTTTTTTTAACTTTTTGTGGTAAACAGGGTTTCACTACATGGCTTAGGCAGGTCTCCAACTCCTGGGCTCAAGCTGTCCTCCCACATCTACCTCCTTAAAAGTGGAGATTACAGGCATGAGCCACCTGGCCCAACTCATTTAATCCTTACAACAACCCTTAGAGCTAGGAACTATTTTTATCATCATCACATAATTGTTTACAAAAATACAGAGGCTTAGCGAGCATATGCACCTCACCTCAAGATCCCACGACTAGAATATGATTGTTACAGATTTGATTGCAAATAATCTGCTTCTTATGATTGTGCTTAAATTTTTCACCATGTCACATCGCTTTGGTGGTGTAAAGTTATAAAACATTTACGTCTTAACTTTAAAAATGTATTTTTGGCCCAGCGCGATGGCTCATGCCTATAATCCTAACACTTTGGGAGGATGAGACAGTCAGATTGCTTAAGACCAGGAGTTCGAGACCAGCCTGAACAACATCCTGAGACCCCTTCTCTACTAAAAATACACAAAAATTAGCTGGGCATGGTGGCCTGCATGTATAATCTCAGCTACTCCGGAGACTGAGGCACCAGAACCGCTTGAACCCAGGGGGCAGAGGTTGCAATGAGCGGAGATCCTGCCATTGCTCTCCAGCCTGGGTGACAGAGTAATGCTCTGTCTCAAAATATATATATATATATACACACATACACACACACACAGATATACATAGTTAAAATATATATATTATTTTTTACATCTTAAAGACAAACGTTATCATTTATATCCAAAAAATTTATTTAGGCCCATGTAGCAATTCCAGATCTGACAAATTTTTGGGATTTAAAACTGTTTTTCATGTAAAATACAATATTTTTCCCTTAACAAAACTTCAAGTTAAAAAAAAAGTATAATTTAAATTCCCCTATGGTAATTACTTGGACTACAAAGTTTTGTACTTTTGCTTTAACTGAATCAATGCCACTATTATTGTCCTTCCAGATCTTTTGATATCACCAATTACACATCCATCATTTTCATGATCATAACGAGTGACTGAGCCTCACCAAAAAAAAAAAAAAAAAAAAAAAAGCTTTACTCACTGGATTTCATTTATGAATTTAAACTTATAAAGCTCTTTCAATAAATCAAGTATCCAATGCAAGATGAATGGATACAGAAAATGGGGCATATATACAGTGGAATACTACTCAGCCTTAAAAAAATGAATCTTGTCATTTCTTACAACATTATGCTAAGTAAAACAAACCAGGCACAGAAAAACAAAAACAGCATGATGTCACTTACATGAGGAGTCTAAAAATGTTGAACTCAGTAAAATGGTCCCTGCCAGAGAATGAGGATGGAGGTATAATGGGACTCAAGAGATATAAATTCTGGAGATCTATTTTAAAGCATGGTGACAATAGTTAATGTACTTTATACTTGAAAATTGCTGATAGTAAGCTTTAAATGTTCTCACCAGAAAGTGAGATGGATGTTAAGCTCGATGTAATCATTCCACAATGAATGTATGTCAGATCAGATTGTACATGTTGTAATTTGTCATACGTTAATGAAAGTGGAGAAAAGTAAAAAATTCTCTTAAAATCCCTTAAGAGGCCGCACGTTAGGAGGCCGAGGCGGGCGGATCACGAGGTCAGGAGATAGAGACCATCCTGGCCAACATGGTGAAACACCATCTCTACTAAAAACACAAAAACTAGCTGGGTGTGGTGGCGCATACCTGTAATCCCAGCTACTCGGCAGGCTCAGGCAGAATTGCTTGCACCCAGGAGGGCGGAGGTTGCAGTGGGCCGAGATCGCGCCACTGCACTCCAACTCGCTGACAAAAAAAAAAAAAAACTACTTGTGGATTTAGGGGTTTTTCAAAAACGATTTCCGATGATCATTGTCAAGCTCACTACAGGGACTACAAGAGTTACTGGTACTGCACATTCCCGATTACGTAAACAAGCTTATGAATTCTGAGCAAATTTAGACTGCATTACAACTCGTAATTAGTTCTACCAACGGTGACCGCGGGTGAATTACCACGTGTGCCGCTGTCTTCAGAAAACTGCTCGCCCCAAAACTGACTTAGAAGAAAGCAAAATTCCAGCCCTACCAAATCCAGTGTTACCACTCCTCAGCTGAGAAAGTAGGGGGGCCCTGAAAAGGGCCTTTTATTGATAGAAAATGACGACGCTCAGCCACCGAAACCGTAGAGGGTGCGACCCTGGCGCTTCAGCGCGTAAACCACATCCATGGCGGTGACCGTCTTGCGCTTGGCATGCTCCGTGTAGGTCACAGCGTCCCGGATCACGTTCTCCAGGAAGACTTTCAGCACCCCACGGGTCTCCTCGTAGATGAGGCCAGAGATGCGCTTCACGCCGCCGCGGCGGGCAAGGCGCCGGATGGCCGGCTTGGTGATGCCCTGGATGTTGTCACGCAGCACCTTGCGGTGGCGCTTAGCGCCGCCTTTGCCAAGACCCTTCCCGCCTTTGCCGCGACCAGACATGATAAGCAAGACGAGTCGTACACAACGCCTTGTGAGGACTCTGGCCTGAGGCAGCGCCTTTATAAGACAGTTGGCGGACCGAACTGAGAACCTGAAAGAAGTCGGCGGGAAGTCCCGCCCCGGTGGGGGAGGGGAAATCGAAAGGGCCAAACCGAAATAGGGAAAAAAGGCGAGCTTCTTGTTTCCGTGTTCTGAATTTTGTAATGTGCAAACTGTTTTGTTACCACGTTATAAGGCTTTAAAAAATTGCTTTTGAACGCAGAAGATATACATCAACACTGTGGGCAATACAAAAAAGTGACCGGGCTCGGTGGCTCACGTCTGTGATCCCACCATTTTAGGAGGCCAAGGTGGGAGTGTACCTGGACGTCAGGAGTTTGAGATCAGCGTGAGCAAAATAGTGAGACCCCCATCTCTACCAAGAAAACAATTAAATTAAATTAAAACATTAGCCCAGCGTGGTAGCACTTACACTTTAGGAGACCCTCTTTTTTTATATATTCATATTTTTAAAAAAAAAAAAAAACCAGTACAGTAACAACAGCCTGTTATCCCCATTTTCCCATCACACAAAGAGCTCTACTGCTAGCTAATAAGATATTTTGGTGAGCAGATAAATGCACATTTTTTTCCTACAATATGTATGCAGTATATGGCATTTTACAACTTCGCGCTGTTATTTTAATCAATTTCCCTTATCTAAAGAGTTTACAAAAAGTGATTTTAATGTCTGCTTATTGTTTCTCCTCCTGAATTCTCCCTACTAAAGTGCTAACCAATTCCCTAGGAATTTATTAATCAACAAGATTTTTAAAATAATTCATCTTCTCCCTGCTGATTAAGTACCACCTTTAACATTATACATACTCGGAACTATTACCAAAATTCTATTCTGTCTATACTTTAATCAAGATGGTTTGCAAAAGGGAATCTTTGTTCACAGTTAAAAGTTTAGAAAATTCACATTAGGAAAATTTTTAAAAGCAGTAATTTATATCTCCTTAATATTCCATCATAGGAATTTTCTAGGTCCACTTTAACAATATTTCTAGTATTTAGCAAAATGTGCTTTCTAATTTTCTTTTTCCTATTTTAAAGGAGAACTGTACAAAATTTACTTCCTGAGGAAAATGTAGAATTGAAGTGTTTTGTCACAAAGGATGCAGATTTTAAGGTATTTTGATGACTGTTACTACATTTTCCTCAAAAGTTTTATTCCATTCACTTTTGCCAGCAGTAACTGTTCTTGTGTATGTTTACCATCATTGAGTATTATGGTTTTTAAATTCTGTGTTACATTCAGAATTTACTTTTGGTTTTGTTGATTGAGTCTTGAGTTAATGAACTAGTTACTCAGCAAGATTTATTGATTTGTTTATAAGTAATAAATTGTCATCTTTAATATAAGCTTGTTTAGGCTGGGCATGGAGGCTCATGCCTGTAATCCCAGCACTTAGAGAGGCCAAGGCAGGCAGATCACTTAAGGTCAGGACTTCGAGACCAACCTGGCCAACATGGTGAAACCCTGTCTTTACTAAAAATATAAAAATTAACAGGGCATGGTGTCACACGTCTGTAATATCAGCTACTCAGGAGGCTGAGGCAGGAGAATCTCTTGAACCTGGGAGGCAGCGGTTACAGTAAGCTGAAATTACACCACAGCACTGCAGGCTGGACAACCAAGCGAGATTCCATCTCAAAAAAAAAAAAAAAAGGAAAAGAAAACAAAAGAAAAAAGAAACCTATAAACTTTATTTTTTCCTGTAAAAACTGGCCACAAAGAAATTATTTAACTTACCTTGTTTGACTGTAAGTCGTAAGACCACCATTCCATGTACAAAAGAAATACTGCACAGACAGCCCAAGAATCTAGACAGGCCTGGCTGGATTTCCCCACTCAGTCTCTTAGCATTAGATCATACTCCTTATGTCCAATCATATTTCTACATAGCTATCCATACTTTGTTGAACCTAAGCATAAAAATGGACAATTTCCCCTGTATTTTTAGGTCTTCATTCTGAAGGCTCCTGTGTACATGTTAAATAAATGTGTATGCCTTTTCTTCTATTAATCTGCCTCTTGACAGGATTTTCAGTGAAGCTTCAGAGTACAAAGGGAAAGCTTTCCGTGGGCCCCAACAAGTTCAATCATACGGTCAAGGATTCAATCAATCCTGCCTACATAATGAAACCCTCATAAAAGCTCTGAATACCAAGGTCAGTAAGTTTATTGGTTTGTGAACACATAGATATCCTAGGGAGGTGACTGCTGCTTCCACATAGAGATGGCACAGAAGCTTTGCTTTCAGGACCCTTCCAAGACTTGCCCTATGTGTCTCTTCATCTGACTGGTCCTGATTTGTATTCTTTACGATAAAACTATAATCATAAGGATAGCACTTTTTATATTCTATGAGTCATTCTAGCAAATTATTCAACATGAAGGGGTAGTGGGAATCCCTGGATTTGAAGCCAGTTGCTCAGAAGAGCAAGTGGCCTGGGAACCCCACTTGCAGCTGGTGTCTGAAGTTGGGATAGTCTTGTTGGGAAATGTGCCCTTTAACTGGTGAGGTCCAGCTAACTCCAAATAATTAGTGCCTGAATTGAACTGTAGTAAATCAGTTGGTGTCCAAATAATTAGAAAGCAATTCATGTACGTAGTTAAAAATTTAGGAAATTCAGATTAGGGAAACTGAAAAATATCTATAAATCACAGTCCAAAGATTATCCTATTAACTTTATGATATCTATCTATTGAAATAGTCATCTTTTCATATATTTAATATTTTTTACATGCATGGATACACTGTGAAATTCTTTTAACTCTAAAGAAACTGTAATCCTGACACAATTTAAAATGTAATTTCTTTGTTTTTCAGTGTTTTCATGTAGATATTTACTTTGGAGAATAGTGAGGAACTCAGCCTCTGCAATGGAACAAACCTAGACTTAAATTGTGACTTCGTTGCAGACACTTTTGCTGTTTATGTCTTAATTTCCTCATCTTTATAATGAGAGTAAGGACAATAAGAGTTACTCCACAGGAAGCTGTAGGAAATAATGGAGATAATTGAACAAAATGGCTAGACTAGCTTAGTAAGATCTCACTAGTCATACATATATAATTTATATTTATTATTTATTGATTAATATTTTACTGATATTCAATTACTTAACTTTTTGTATAGATTTAAATTCACATTTATGCTATTTGCACTAGTCCAAATAAAGTACTTAACAATTCTTATGTCATTTACATTTCTAATATATTTGAATAAATGGTTAGAGTTTTATGTTTTGATATAACTTCTAAAACAGCTATTAGAAGATATTAATAGCTAAAATAAAAATAAAATATAATCAAATGAAGACTTTTTTTTTTTGAGACAGAGTCTCACTCTGTTGCCCAGGCTGGAGTGCAATGGCTGGATCTCGGCTCACTGCAACCTCTGCCTCCCTGGTGCAAGCGATTCTCCTGCCTCAACCTCCTAAGTAGCTGGGATTACAGGTGCGTACCACCAGGCCCAGCTAATTTTTTTTGTATTTTTAGTAGAGATAGGGTTTCACCATGTTGGTCAGGCTGGTCTCAAACTCCTGACCTCGTGATCCACCCACCTCAGCTTCCCAAAGTGCTGGGATTACAGGCATGAGCCACCGTGCCTGGCTGAAGACTCTTTTTGAGGTGTGTTCTTCATTTCCCACTTCGAACATCATCACAATAACAATAAAGAGAATATATTTATACATACAGTTAAAATCAAGACATACATTCATATCATAAATCAGATTTAAGATATGAAAGAAAAACATTGGAAAACCAAGAAGATAACTAAGAGAGTAGAAAGTTTGTCAAAGTATGTCATTAATTTTGTCAGGAAGACCTGGTTTTCCTGGAAGACTCATGTGGGAGGAAAAAATTATTTTCTCTCTACACTTCTGAGTTCTCAGCTAGAGCTCTTGTGACAAAAGACACATTAAGAAGAAAAAAACAAACAAGTTTATTAACATGTGTACAGCACATGTCACAAGTGGGAGTACCTAGAAATGAGTAATTAAAAATGTGACTTAAAACTCCAGTTTATATACAGCATCTTTAATAAGATCAATAAGTTTTTAGAGAAATTAAAAGACAAAGGAAAAGGATTTTGAGTCTGTAGGAGTAACAAATTGTGGGAAGGTAAATGTATAGTAAACTAATGGTAGATAAAGGCTGGTTAGTAAAGTTGTTATGCAGATTGCTCTGGTGCCCTCTCTAGGCTGATGAGTCGTCTCTGGTGATTATTTTTTGTCCTCTCTGGTAGAGAGAGGAGGAGCGACACTTCTGCACGTTTATGTCCTGCTTTTAGGCAAATAGGGAGAGGGCAGAGTTTTCTTGTATCTGCTTCTTCTCAGTGGCCCTCAACTCAAATAATCTTTATGTCAGTGTGGTATATTTTGGGGTGCTGTGTCATGCCACCCTTCACTCAGAAAAAGCTAATCTCTACCGAAAAAGAGAATCCAGGCCAGGCGCAGTGGCTCACACCTGTAATCCCAGTACTTTGGGAGGCCAAGGCGGGCAGATCACGAGGTTGGGAGATTGAGACCATCCTAGCTAACACGATGAAACCTCGTCTCTGCTAGAAATGCAAAAAAATTAGCGGGGCGTGGTGGTGGGAGCCTGTAGTCCCAGCTACTCGTGAGGCTGAGGCAGAATGGCGTGAACCCGGGAGGCAGAGCTTGCAGCAGTGAGCCGAGATCACGCCACTGCACTCCAGTGTGGGCGACAGAGCGAGACTCTGTCTCAAAAAAAAAAAAAAAAAAAAATGGGGCAAGGCATAGTGGCTCACACCTGTAATCCCAACATTTTGGAAGGCCAAGGAAAGAGGATCACTTGAGCACAGAAGTTTGAAAACAGCCGCAGCAACATGGTGAAACACTGTCTCCACCAAAAAAGATACAAACATTAGCTGGGCGTGGTGGCCTGTGCCTGTAGTCCCAGCAACCCAGGGGGCTGAGTTGGGAGGATTGATTGGGCTTGGGGAAGCCAAGGTGCAGTGAGCGGTGATTGTGCCACTGCACTCCAGCCTGGGCAACAGAGTGAGACCTTGTCTCAAAAATAATAATAATAAACAATTTTGCCAAGATTTCTGGAAAGTATTTTCCTACTCTTTTTCTTTTCTTTTCTTTTAGGTGTAGTCTTGCTCTGTCGCCAGGCTGGAGTGCACTGGTGTGATACCAGCTCACTGCAGCCTCTGCCTCCTGGATTCAAGCAATTCTTCTGCCTCAGCCTCCCAAGAAACTGGGATTACAGGAGCATGCCACCACACTCTACTAATCGTTGTATTTCTGTAGAGATGAAATTTCACCATATTAGCCCAGCTGAACTCAAACTTCTGACCTCAAGTAATCCACCTGCCTCAACCTTCCAAATTTCTGGGATTTACAGGCATGAGCCACCACACTCAGCCTAATTTTTTAAAAAAATCTTTTGAGCTTTTTTTCTAACATGATACTCATGTATCAAGAATAGATGCTTCATCTAATGAGATTGTATTGTTAGGGCTCAGAAACCGATTCCCCAAAATATGGAGTTTTGACATACTGAACTGAAGAAAAATCCTGAAGGTCTTTCTGAACTTCCTCCTATTCCTGTCTCTCATTTCTCTATCTGAAATCACAAAATGAAGTTGTTCTCTGAAATTCCCTTAGCTCTCTAAAGTATAGACCTGCTAAAGAAGAAAGCAATTACCTCTGGTCCCTTCTCTGAGTCTTCCTTAACTGAAAACTCGTATTGCAAGAAGACTGAAGTCTGTCAACACACTGAGACAAACCTTTGTCACAAACCGTTGTCTGGTCTGTGGGCCAAACAGACTTTGTCCTAGGCTGTTATATGTTATTCAAGTCTATTGAATTCCCCTAAAAATCACTTAATACCCTCTAAAATAATCCACAGTTACCCATCTCCCTTTTCCCTAAGAAAAAGGGTATGTAATCATCTCTATTCTATTGCTTGGGGCATAGGGGGGAGGGGGAGGCAGTAATCACTGATTCTCCCCTATGCACATTAATAAATGTGTATGCTTTTTCTCCTATTAATCTGCCTTTTGTATGTTGATTTTTCACCAAACCTTCAGAGGACAAAGGAGACGTTTTCCTTTGGATTCTACAGTTTCAATAGACAACCAAAAGTAAAAGTTAAGAATTATGTAAATATGCTTCACTCTTTGAACGTATTATTCTTACTTATTCCATTAACATTTATATGTCTTTGCTAACATTATGATAATTTATTGAATAGAATCCTAAATTGGAAATTCCTAGCATAAATCACACATGTGTTAGAAAATATTTTTCAGGTTGGGTTTCTTTAAAGAAGTGTGAGGATTCAAAGGCTCTGGAAAAGCAATCTCAGTGCAGATGCCTTTTTAATCTTTACAGGTATTGAGTTTTCTCACAATTTTAAAAATTGATTTAAGCATAACTAGAATATTTCTGGCAATTTAATTATAACACATGTACAGAACACTCACTAAGTATTCACAGTAATATTAAGAGCAATTATTTTTTCCAGTTCATTTTCTTTGATTTACCTGATTGATTGATTGATTGATTGATTGATTGATTTTGAGATAGAGGCTTGCCGTGTTGCCCAGGCTACAGTGCAGTGGCACAATCACGGCTAGGCTCACTGCAACCCGTCTGCGGGTTCAAGCGATTCTCCTGCCTCAGCCTCCTGAGAAGCTGGTATTACAGGCACGTGCCACCATGCCCGGCTAATTTTTGTATTTTTGGTACAGACGGGGTTTCTCCATGTTGGCCAGGCTGGTCTCAAACTCCTGATCTCAAGTGGTCCGCCCGCCTCGGACTCCCAAAGTGCTGGGATTACAGGCGTAAGCCACCGCGCCTGGTCTAACCCTCCACATATTGATTTATGACTTTACCTATAACTTCTGCTTCCCTAAAATGTATAAAACAGTTGCATTCTGACTGCCTCAGAACCACTTTCTCATGGTCTTGGGGGGTTGTCTTCCCTAAGCCACGGTCACTCATACTTGCTAATAATCCTCTAAAATATTTTGGGCTGGGCGCGGAGGCTGACACCTGTGATCCCAACACCTTGGGAAGAGGCAAGTGTATATCACCTCAGGTCAGGAGTTCGAGACCTGTCTGACCAACATGGCGAAACTCCCTATCTACTAAAAATACAAAAATTAGCAAGGCATGGTGCCACACGCCTGTGGTCCCAGCAACTCGGGAGCCTGAGGCAGAAGAATCGCTTGAACCCGGAAGGTGGAGATTTCAGTGAACCGAAATCGTGCCATTGCACTCCAGGCTGGGCAACAGAGTGAGACTCCACCTCAAAAAAAACAAAACAAAAAAAAACACATGTATGTGTACATTTATATGTACGAAGCGAGTCCTAAAGGGTACCTAAGGGGAGACAAGCTAACAGCGAACTGGCTCTTTCTTGAGAAACGTGGACGGCTCTGAAAAGAGCCTTTGGAGTGTAGGTCAGAGCGGACCTGTAACTGCAGCGAGGGGCTCACTTGGAGCTGGTATACTTGGTGACGGCCTTGGTGCCCTCGGACACCGCATGCTTGGCCAACTCCCCGGGCAGCAGTAGGCGCACGGCCGTCTGAATCTCCCTCGAAGTGATGGTCGAGCGCTTGTTATAATGCGCCAGGCGTGACGCTTCTCCGGCGATACGCTCGAAGATGTCGTTGACAAAGGAGTTCATAATCCCCATAGCCTTCGAGGAAATGCCGGTGTCGGGGTGGACTTGCTTCAGCACTTTGTACACGTACACGGAGTAGCTTTCCTTGCGGCTGCGTTTCCGCTTCTTTCCATCCTTCTTCTGAGCCTTGTTAATGGCCTTCTTGGAGCCCTTTTTAGGGGCTGAAGCAGATTTTAGTGGTTCAGGCATGGTGAAAAACGGAAGACAACAATCCTAGGGCTGTTTCGTCCTCTTTATTTAAACGCTATTATGCAAATTAGGAGTAGAATAGGTCACTGCTGATTGGTGATTATCCTTGGATGACGTCAGATGCCAGTTTTGCCCAATCAAAATAGGTATCCTGCATAATTGAGTCCTATTGGTCTAAATAAAAATAAAACGTTAGCCAATCGAACAGCTTCCTTTTCGCGCCCAGTAGAGGCTATAAAAACTGCGTTTTTCTACTTTCGTCTGTCCTTTTTAACTGTATAGATACAGGCCTTTTGCCATGTCTGGGCGTGGTAAGCAGGGAGGCAAAGCTCGCGCCAAGGCCAAGACCCGCTCTTCTCGGGCCGGGCTTCAGTTTCCCGTGGGCCGAGTGCACCGCCTGCTCCGCAAGGGCAACTATGCCGAGCGGGTCGGGGCTGGGGCACCGGTGTACCTGGCTGCGGTGCTGGAGTACCTGACCGCCGAGATCCTGGAGCTGGCTGGCAACGCGGCCCGCGACAACAAGAAGACTCGCATCATCCCGCGTCACCTCCAGCTGGCCATCCGCAACGACGAGGAGCTCAACAAACTGCTGGGCAAAGTCACCATCGCACAGGGTGGTGTTCTGCCCAACATCCAGGCCGTGCTGCTGCCAAAGAAGACCGAGAGCCACCACAAGGCGAAGGGCAAGTAGAACGCTGGATTAGTTTGCAGCAACTCAATCCCAACGGAACCAAAGGCTCTTTTCAGAGCCACCTACAATTTTGTGGAAGAACTGAGCACTACTTTTAATATGATTTCTCGTCTTCGTCTACTAGTAAACCACTCCAAAGGTTAACGTACATCAGTCTTCGGTGACTTGGTTAGGTAGTGGCAATCTCATTAGCTTTTTAAAAAGCCTGGATAACGTTAAAAGTATTAAACCGCCTTCATCTTAAGCTTAACACAAGAAGATTTGGTTTTTCTTAATTTGGCATTGTCCAAGTTTATTATTCTATATGGTTCACTGTCGGGTTTTACTGACACTCCACCATTTTTAGATTGTTGGAAGCAAACATGACTGCTTTGGGGCCAAATGCATTCTTGGTCTTGGTAAATGACAAACCGAGCATTCGACGTTTAGTCTAAATCTTGATCAACGGCTTGGATTCTTTATTTCTGAGAAAGATCTCTCGAATCAGAATAATTAGATTGCACTTGAACATTAACGATTGAGTTGAGAGAATAATTTCTAATTAGATTAATTAGAACAGTTAATTATGGTGCCAGGTAGTTGTCTTTGAAGCATTTTCTGAAAATTCATTGAAATTAAAATTTCTCGAGCTTTCTCACCCCCAGCCACACAAATTGATTTCTTAGTAGAGAGATGACTATTAATTTGTTTCAGCATGGTAAATTCCACTTTTAAAATATCTGACTTGATGTTTTTAATCTGATTTAATAAATCAGATCTGGATGTACAAATGGAATAGATACTTAAGAGAAAATGAATTACGTTTCTAGAGTATTGGAAAAATAAGTTAAGCTGTAATGGAATTACTTTAATCTGAACGCGAAAAAGCTCACATAAGGTTGTTTCTTTGATATTTTTAGGCCTTGAATTTCTCACATGCGAATCAGCTTTTCTTGGTTAAAAAAATACAAAAGTTTTAAAAATTTAAGTGATCAAAAAATAGACAATTGAGGGGAGAGGTGTATATGGCTGTCTTGTCCAGTATTGTAGCCACTAGTCAATTGTAGAGTGATCACTGGAAATTCCATAGCATGAATTTTATATAAAATACACATTGCATTTGGAAAAGTTAGTGCCAAAAAGTGTAAAATACCTAACAATTTTAATTTTGATAACATACTGAAATATGTTGGCTATATTTGATTAAGCAAAATATTAAAAGTTAATCTTTTCTTGCTTTGTTCTAATGTTGCTCCTAAATGTAAATTACTTATATTGCTCTCATTTCTTTCCACTGGAAATCACTGGTATAGTGAACAACTGTAAAGCGAAAATAGAAAATAAAATATGGAGGCCATGAACTGCTAAGACTGTCGGAGGAATTGGTGGACAACAAAAATTTGAGTCATTGGCCAATCCGGTTACTGTTGGGTAGGCCTTCAGCATACTTTTTGTCCAATCAGCTTTAGACTCTCACTATAAAGAAGCGGCTAGCTTTCTCTTTGCCCTTAACTGCATCTAGTTCTGAAAGAATGGCGCGTACGAAGCAGACTGCTCGTAAGTCCACCGGCGGCAAGGCTCCGCGCAAGCAGCTGGCTACGAAAGCGGCTCGGAAGAGCGCTCCGGCCACCGGCGGCGTCAAGAAGCCCCATCGCTACCGGCCTGGTACAGTGGCTCTCCGCGAGATCCGCCGCTACCAGAAGTCCACCGAGCTGCTGATCAGAAAGTTGCCTTTTCAGCGTCTGGTGCGAGAGATCGCGCAGGACTTTAAGACCGACCTGCGCTTTCAGAGCTCGGCGGTGATGGCGCTGCAAGAGGCATGCGAGGCCTACCTGGTGGGGCTCTTTGAGGACACCAACCTGTGCGCCATCCACGCCAAGAGGGTGACTATCATGCCCAAGGATATCCAGCTCGCACGTCGTATCCGCGGCGAAAGGGCTTGAGTCTCAAGGACTCAGATTATATACCCAAAGGCTCTTTTCAGAGCCACCCACTTGGGCGCTGAAAAGATCTGTTTCTCTGAGGAATTCTTCCTGGTACTTTGTTTTGCCTATAGCAGATAGGGTCCATTTCCAGACGTTATACAATCTGTTTTGGAAGGTTCAGCCTATCCCTGTTAAAATGTTAGTTTTGTAAATCTTAACATTTAATAATCTGGGAGCTTTCCGCAAGCATTGGGTGTAGCCAAAAGTTCCTTTGTGTGTTACCCGCCCATCTCCGCAGCCCAGTTTTGACCGTATGGTGGTTCTAATTTTCTGCCAACCTATACTGTAGTGTGTATATTCCTTGCCAACACGCCAAGAATAAAACTAAGGTTGAATTGAAGTTGGAAAAATTCAGGGTAATGTAGCTCATGCTGGCTAAAGTGAAAACATTCCCCTCCCCCGCCCCCCGTTTCCTAAGCAGTGTTTTTGAAATTTTCAAGTCGAATTTTGGGCCTGCTTAAATCTCTTAAGTGTAGTTAATGACAGATGGTTTGGGGATTAAAAGTCGTCTGGAGAAAGCCCGCCAGAGAAAATTCCCTTTGAAGCCCCATATAAAAATATGTGTATGAGAGAAAGTGTTTTATCTGACTTCTGACAGTGGCTAAAACTTTGAACTGTCAGGAGTATCCAAAATTAAGACTGCCTTGTAGGGAATTCTGTGGTAATTTTTTTGAGCACAGGATAAAATACTTGAGTCTTACTTAAATGTTACCTTCTCATTAAGGCTTTGTATGACTAAAATCTGTATAATCCCCACCTAATTTTTTCACCCTAGAATTTGTCACTATATACTGTACAATAGTTTGTTGATGTATTGCCTGTGTGTTCTAAAATATGGGCTCATGAGAGGAGGAACTTTTGTTTACTGGCATATCTCCAGTAATATAGGAGCTTTTGATCAGTATTTGTTGGATAAATGAATGAATGCATGGCTATATAATAGTAAGGAAAGATAACCACATGGAAAATCTCAAATGAAAGAAATACATCAGCTTGCTAGATGTGCGGAAATCAGCTTCTTGTGGGCCATGAAAGCCCTTACCTCATCCATTCTTGTATTTAGAATGCTAGATTTCTATAACTTTTCTTCTGTGAGCTCTCTAGCATTCTTACAAGTATTCAAGACTTTCCCTGGCAAGTTGGCTTGTGTATGTGTGTTATCATCTCTGTCTCTCCTTAGCTTAGCTTGTGAAGGATGTAAGTGGAAAGATCATAGTATTTTTACACTGAGTTTTAAAAAGCAGTTTTAACTCTCTTGTTTCCGTTGGCTATTTATGTATCTTCAGTTATTAGAATTGGTTACATTCTTAATACACTTTTTTGGAAATTCAATATCAAGATCACTACTGCAACATTCACCATCTGCTCATCCACATCTTCTTGTATGTGGGTTCATGATTTCATTATTTCCACATATATGGAATTTAGAATGATAAGTTATGATTAATATTTTACAAATTAAAATAATGCTTTAATACTTTTAATTGGAATCAACACCCTAAGCAAACAAAATAGAGTGTTCCCCTCTCAGAAATTAGCTTTCTTCTGGAAAGGAAGATACACTATTTTGGAGAGAAGCAATGCCTCTGGGACACTTAAGTGGGGCCAACTGCTAAACCGATGGGTATTGTTGAGTGTGTAAGTAGTGAATTCCTTCTTTCTGTGCTGGGAAACTAACAGCTAGTAATAAATCAGGAAGGGCTCACTAATCAATACTCTTGCTGGCTGGGTAGGGCATCCTTTCCTGGAGATATGCAGCCAATATACTCCCAGTTAAATTTCCAGGTATGATTACATGAGGAATTATTTATTCAGGGGACAGTGAGTAGTTCTAGTTATGTGGAAATGAATACTCTATGTCTTTTCAAAACACTCCATGCACTGAATTACAATAGTCTGGTAACCATCCAACTAAGCTCGTTTGTCAGGAGGTCGTGACCAGCCTGACCAACATGGTAAAACCCCGTCTTTACTAAAAATACAAAAAATTTAGCGAGGTGTGGTGGCATGTGCCTGTAGTCCCAGCTACTGGGAGGCTGAGGCAAGAGAATCGCTTGAACTCGGGAGCTGGAGGTCGCTATAAGCCGAGATCGCGCCACTGCAGTCCAGCCTGGGCGACATAGGGAGACTCCATCTCAAAAACGCAAAACAAACAAATAAAAAATAAATTTAAAAAAGGACATAATTCTTGTGTCTGAATTTCCTGAGATGGCAAAACTCATAAGTGGCATAACAATCCTTTTCAAGGCCCAAAATAAAAGGACCTTGACATGCCCATACAGTAATATGGACAACAGGCCGGGTGCGGTGGCTCATGCCTGTAATCCAAGCACTTTGGGAGGCCGAGGTGGGTGGATCGCTTGAGTCCAGGAGTTGAAAACCAGCCTGGGCAATGTGGCGAAACCCCATATCTCCAAAAAATAAAAAAATTAGTCGGGCGTAGTGGTGTGCGCCTGTAGTCCCATATACTCAGGAGGCTGCGGTGGGAGAATCGCTTGTGCCCAGAAGTCGAAGGTTGCAATGAACCGAGATCGTATCACTGTCCTCTGGCCTGGGTGACAAAGCGAGACCCTGTCTTAAAAAAAAAAAAAAAAAAAAAGATAACATGAGGAACTGACCTCACTATTCTCAAAATAGCCTTTGGCTTTTCTCAGAAGAGATATTTTTTCTGAGTGTAGGTATTCACCCATTAGTGCTCTTGGAATCAACTTAAGTATTCAGAACCATCCTTACTGTCAGTCATCACCACCTTGGACTACTATGCTTGACCATCTACTTATCCGGCAGTTACTAAGTATTTAACTCATTTACTAATTGTAGCAGTGTTTACAGGATACGTTTGTAACATAACACTCAGGTACGAAAAGGTTAATTACATACAGAATTAAACAAAAATATCAGAGCACATACAATGAAGTTAACTATTATTTTTTAACATGTTATTTCAGCAGTACCCTAACATATGTACATATAATTATTGGGTCACTACAGAATATGTGTATGTTTGAAAGACCCTTAATTGGAAGGCTTCTAAGGCCAATTTTCTTTTTTTATTCCAAACTCTTGTAAGTGCAAAAATTAAAAATAGAAAACAAAATAAAACATGACAAGTGTATACATTGGTAAACATAAAACTTTATGTTTTTGTTTAAACATACCCATCAAGTAGCTCCTTTCCTAGAGGCCAGGAAATGGGGCTGAGAACTCCACCGTTTTCAATCTAGAGACTATGAAACTCTAGAGAAATATGTCTAGTAGCAATCCATATACTTTTCCTAGTAAGCATATTAAAAACTGAATACTATACTACATTCCTTACAGTCCAGTTTCCCAGAATCATAAATAAAATCCCACCAGTATCTACTATGTAACTCCCAGTAAGATGCTGATTTTTGTCAAAGTTGTGTCCCAGTAAAATGCCTTTAAGATACTACAAACTGGCCTGGCACAGTGGCTCACGCCTGTTAATCCCAGCACTTTGGGAGGCCTAGGGGGGTGGATTACCTGAGGTCATGTGTCTGAGACCAACCTGGCCACCAAGGCAAAACCCCTGAAAATAGGTGTTAGCAAAGGTATCTTGTGAATACCTACATTAAGGACTTAAAAAAAATCTTAAAATTCTGGCAACGTACACAGAGAGGTTAAAATTAAAACCGAAACGCCATGAGTGTGTTGTCGAGTGGTGAAGCAGCTGAAAACGGACTCGTGTCATCTTTTTATGATTATTAAAGTGGCTCTGAAAAGAGCCTTTGTTTCTATACACTTTTCAACTCGGTCTTTACTTAGTCTTGTGGTGGCTCTCGGTCTTCTTTGGCAGCAGCACGGCCTGGATGTTGGGCAGAACACCACCCTGTGCGATGGTGACTTTGCCCAGCAGTTTGTTGAGCTCCTCGTCGTTGCGGATGGCCAGCTGGAGGTGACGCGGGATGATGCGAGTCTTCTTGTTGTCGCGGGCCGCGTTGCCAGCCAGCTCCAGGATCTCGGCGGTCAGGTACTCCAGCACCGCAGCCAGGTACACCGGTGCCCCAGCCCCGACCCGCTCGGCATAGTTGCCCTTGCGGAGCAGGCGGTGCACTCGGCCCACGGGAAACTGAAGCCCGGCCCGAGAAGAGCGGGTCTTGGCCTTGGCGCGAGCTTTGCCTCCCTGCTTACCACGCCCAGACATGGCAAAAGGCCTGTATCTATACAGTTAAAAAAGACAGACGAAAGTAGAAAAACGCAGTTTTTATAGCCTCTACTGGGCGCGAAAAGGAAGCTGTTCGATTGGCTAACGTTTTATTTTTATTTAGACCAATAGGACTCAATTATGCAGGATACCTATTTTGATTGGGCAAAACTGGCATCTGACGTCATCCAAGGATAATCACCAATAAGCAGTGACCTATTCTACTCCTAATTTGCATAATAGCGTTTAAATAAAGAGGACGAAACAGCCCTAGGATTGTTGTCTTCCGTTTTTCACCATGCCTGAACCACTAAAATCTGCTTCAGCCCCTAAAAAGGGCTCCAAGAAGGCCATTAACAAGGCTCAGAAGAAGGATGGAAAGAAGCGGAAACGCAGCCGCAAGGAAAGCTACTCCGTGTACGTGTACAAAGTGCTGAAGCAAGTCCACCCCGACACCGGCATTTCCTCCAAGGCTATGGGGATTATGAACTCCTTTGTCAACGACATCTTCGAGCGTATCGCCGGAGAAGCGTCACGCCTGGCGCATTATAACAAGCGCTCGACCATCACTTCGAGGGAGATTCAGACGGCCGTGCGCCTACTGCTGCCCGGGGAGTTGGCCAAGCATGCGGTGTCCGAGGGCACCAAGGCCGTCACCAAGTATACCAGCTCCAAGTGAGCCCCTCGCTGCAGCTACAGGTCCGCTCTGACCTACACTCCAAAGGCTCTTTTCAGAGCCGTCCACGTTTCTCAAGAAAGAGCCAGTTCGCTGTTAGCTTGTCTCCCCTTAGGTACCCTTTAGGACTCGCTTCGTACATATAAATGTACACAT